CAGGCACACCTCAAATACTCTTAATGTTAACATCTTGAGATTGGGGATAATAATAGTTACCTTATAGGGTGAGTGTGGGTTTTGTTTTTTTTAATGTTTACTTATTTAGTTTTGAGAGAGGGAGGGAGCAGGAGAGAGACAGAGAGGGAGACAGAGAATCCCAAGCAGGCTACGCATTGTCAGTGCAAAGCCTGATGTGGGGTTCGAACTCACGAACCGTGAGATCATGACCGGAGCTGAAATCAAGAGTTGGACACTTAGCCAACTGAGCCACCCAGGTGCCCCAAGTTACCGTGGGGTTTAAACTAGCTAATGGTTGTGGTGAAACCTTAAGAACCATAGTTGGCACCTAGCATAAGCTGCGTATAGCTAAGAACCAGAACTATTGCAGGAAAGAAAAGTTGGCCAGAATTCCTGGCAAAAGGCTGAAGAATCAAATTAGTATTCTCTCAAGAATCTTTAGTCTTGGGCCTGCATCCATTTGAGGGGAAGGTCTGGAGAACTATTCGGGAAAACCTTGGGGCAGACTGGTCCAAACACAAAACCAAAGGTTATGGATGGGACCAGACTGGCCTCTGGAATGCAACATTTGACTCAAGTTGGCATGTGGAAGCAATGCAATAGGGTTTGCTTTAAAAATATGTAGTGCTATGTAAATTGTTATTACTACACACATACACACATCCTAACACACACAGATACCTGCTCTCTAGCAGAGATGGATTTAAATGTTGCATGTTGAGGAGAAGACAGAATAGATGAGTGGCTAAGTATATCAGAATGGTAATAAAGCCAGATTAGAGAGGCCATATAGGGCAGTGGCTAAACATTCAGCCACTAATTGCAGAATACTCAGTTTCCGTTGTCTCCATCACTCACTATTCAGCACAAACTTGGGCAAGTTAAGTAACTTCTATGCACCTAAGTTTCCTCTTGGATAAAAAAAAGATAATATTAGTACTTACCTCATAGGATTGTTATAAGAATTAAAAAAGTTAATATATATAAAGCACCTTATATATTACATAAATATCTAATATATATCTATATATATAATTTATAACATACAAATAGATGTATATATTAACTACATATATATATGTATGTGTATATATATATATATATATATATATATATATGGCACTAACAATGTGTGTATAAAGATTGCCTAGGACACGGTAAGCATCAGTTTCCCAATCTGTAAAATGGGAACAATAAAATGTCTTACTTCACAGCTTGTTATAAGAATTAAATAAATTATACTTAAAAAGTGCTTAGCACATAATACATCAATAAATATTTGGTATTTTTATTAGAACATAGGTGGGGTACCAAAAATAATTTTTAATCCAGAGAAAAATATTTTGTAATGGAATAGAACGGAAAATATCGTGAAAAACATTATTCCCATTTTAGTGTTGAATATATTTACTGGGAAACCATGAGTAACTTGGCATACTTGTCCACTTTCCACTGTATAAAACACATCTGAATAATTCCATCTCCTAGATCTGTCATGGGATCTAAGTCACAGATAAAAAATACAGAAGACGAAGAAGGAAGAAGAGGAGAGAAAGAAACCATGACTACAAGAGCAATTTTGAAATAATATTCCTCTCAATATTCATTCACTGACAAAGAAAAAATAAACCCTAATAACATAAACTAACAACCAAAAATCTGTATGTAAATGTACTTACAGAAAACATGACACTTTTAAAATTTGAAAAACGGGCACTCATAAAGAAATTTGTTGCAACATGCCTTCTAAAGGACAAATGTTGCCATAAAATTAGAACTTAAAGGTCAGTTCATTAAAACCCAAATAAACATAACTCCTGTTTAGTCTACAAAGAAACCCAGAGAATACAGAAGTCAAGGGAATCAAGAAAACTTTAAGGAGGCTGTGGTCAACAGTGGGCTAATTGCTAAAAGGCCAATAAGACAACACCTGGAAAGTGTCCATGAGGTTTAGCAGCAAGGATATAATTGGTGATCTTAACAAAATCACTGTATGGTGTGGCTGGGATTGCGGAAAATACTAAATAAATCAGCACAGTCTGGGAAATGATTTTCATAGAGAGAGGAACAAAAGACTAAGCATGAGTCACTAACTTTGAGTTAGAATAAGCTTCCCTAACTTGGGAGATATTCAAACTGGAATTTTTTTTCAGATTATAATTTTTATTCTAATAGTGGTAAATAAAGCAAATTGATACTGGAGATTTACTCCACAAAGCATTACTCGGTCGTCCTTTGACCCAAAGTGAATAGAATAATTTTAATCTTTCCACCTAAAAGATGTTGAAGCACAAAAATTTAAGATGATATATATATGAAAGTTTAACCTGAATGATGTTTTCCTGAATTTTATTAGAATACTTCTGTGCCAAAAACAAAATACCAAAAAACCAAAAAACTTCTGTGCTAAGAGATTCTCAGCGGGCGCCTGGCTGGCTCAGTTGGTGAAGCATGCAACTCTTGATCTCGGAGTTGTGAGTTCGAGCTCCACATTGGGTGCAGGGATTACTTACAAAAATAAAATCTTAAAAAAAAACAACAAAAAGAGATTCTCAGCCAGCGATGGAAGGAAGATTTAACATCTTTTTTTAAGGTTTTTGTTTGTTTGTTTTGGTTTTGGTTTTTTTGTGTTTCTTTGAGAGAGGGTGAGAGTATGCATGAGTAGGGGAGGGGCAGAGGGCAAGCGAGAGAGAGAATCTTAAGCAGGCCCCATGCCCAGCCTGGAGCCTGACTTGGGGCTCTATCTCACAAAGGTGAGATCATGACCTGAGCCAAAATCAAGGCTGATCTTAACCACTTAACCAACTGATCTATCCAGGTGCCTAAAGATCTTTTTTGAAGATGTGATGCATTTACCAGTCTCTGTCTCAAAGGATAATGCAGACAAGTGTTTAAGAAACCACCTGTAAGTTCTTCTGATTAGTTATGGATGACCAGTAATATCATTTATCTAACCATCTAGACATCACTGTCAAATAGAAATATAATGTGAGTCATCATATCAGAATGGCTAAAACCAAAACCATATGAAACAACAAGCATTGGCAAGGATGTGGAGAAAAAGGAATCCTTGTGCACTGTCGATGGAAATGCAACTGGTGCAGCCACTGTGGAAAACAGTATGGAGAGTCCTTAAAAAATTAAAAATAGGACTATCCTATGACCCAATAATCTCACTACGGGGTATTTACCTTACAGAATATGAAAACATGAATTCAAAGTGATATATGCATCCGTATGTTTATTGCAGCATTATTTACAAAAGCCAAACTATGGAAGCAGCCCAAGTGTCCATCAATAGATGAATGGATATAAAAGATGTCGTATGCATATACAATGAAATATTATTCAGCCATAAAAAGGATTGAAATCTTGCCATTTGCAACAACATGGATGGATCTGGAAGATAGTATGCTAGGTGAAATTAGCCAGTCAGAGAAAAACAAATACCATATGATTTCACTCATATATGGAATTTAAAAAGCAAAACAAATGAACAAAGAAAAAAAGACACACACACACACACACACACACACACACACACATACTCTTAACTATAGAGAACAAACAGAGGGGAAGTGGGTGGGTGAGTGAATAAAATAAGTGAAGGGGATTAGGAGTGTACTTGTCTCGGTGGGCACTGAGTAAAGTATGGAACCATTGGATTACTATATTGTACACTAGAAATTATTCAACTGCACTGGAATTAAATTTTTGTATATGTTACAAATAAATAAACAATTCTTTTTAAAAATTTTTTTACCGTTTATTTATTTTTGAGACAGAGAGAGACAGAGTGTGCGCAGGGGAGGGACAGAGAGAGAGGGAGACACAGAATCCGAAGCAGGCTCCAGGCTCTGAGCTGTCAGCACAGAGCCTGATGCGGGGCTCGAACTCACAAACCACGAGATCATGACCTGAGCCAAAGTTGAATGCTTAACCGACTGAGCCACCCAGGCACCCCAAAAAGTAAATAACTCTTAAAAAAAGAAATAAATATAAAAGTAAAAAGAAATAGATGTCATTAATTTTAATATTTTCTATTTAATCTAATATACAAAACGTTATTTCAGCATGTAACCAATATAAAAATTATTGCTAAGACATTTCACATTCTTTTTTTCATACTAAATCTTTGAAATCCAGGTGTATTTTACATTTCTAACACACCTCAATTTGTCCTAGCCTCATTTCAAGTGCTCAGTGGTTGTTTATGGCTAGTGGTTGCTATATTGGACACTACAGGTCTAGAATCCAGATTCCCTGCAAACAGGAATATGAGTTTTCTTGTTCACAGATGTAATTTTAGCATTCAGAAGAGTGCCTGGCACAAAATGAGCCCTCAGTGAATATTTGTTGAATGAATGAACACATGAATGAATTAATCCATGGATTTTATATACATATATGCAAAAAAAATTCCTGTGACATAGATGAAATTTTAATTACATGACTAGAACTATTAAGAGAAGCATGTAATTATATTAAACTCAATTCCAGCCCAGGCAATAGTTTAGCAATATAGGGTTAAGTCAATACAAATTCTTAAATGGGTGCATACTTTCAAATACACTATAAACATGTGTTACTATCCATAGGGAACATTCTTCTATAACCACTTTAAACATGTTTTTCTTAAACACTTAGTAAATTAAAATGCTGTCACACTCCTCTAGTAAAATCAAATAAATTATAGCTTTTCTATAGGGAATGAATGAACTCCACATTCATCAAATACACACAACTCTTACATATTCCACTAGTTCTGCAAAGAAAAGTGTTTTGGCTTAATGTTCCATTCCCTCTAAAAATTGGCAAAAGAATATTTCAAAAATAGCTTTAAAGCCCTGACAAAAAGTTAAATATGTTCTTTATTTTAAAAATGTTTACCCCCCAAAAGTACTGCAATTATTTAATGTAAATGAAATATGCCCCAAACAGGTGATGTTTAGTAACAAAGGTTGGAGAGAAAATCATACCTTCTCAGCTAAAAGCTCTCTTATCTTACTTGCTTGAACTCTAAATTTCATGAGCTGGGACTCCAGAGCCACACATCGTTCTTTCCAATCTACTGGTCCTTCTGTCTCAGTAAGCTCTGCCATATTTATTCTAGAAAAGAAAGCATAAATGGCATATAACCCATGAGCATTCAGGATAATTCATTACGTCATCCTGTATACATATTCACGTTACCATCTAATGATGTCATCCACATACAAATTTTTGAATTCTAAGACAAATTCCATAACTGGTTATATAGCTCATGGAAGAAACTTAGTGGGAGATAGAGGTCAGGGTTGGAGGCCCAGTGTGTTATTCAGTCTTTATATATAACATATCCTTTCCGTGTCTCAGATTATCCAATCTAGAAAAAGCAGGACACTGATAGTAACAAACCATTGTTCTTCATGAGTACGTTGTGAGGAACAAATTAAATACTGTTATTTTTAATAGCACTGTGGACAGTATAATAGCACCATCTGAACACAGAGAAGTAGTATTATTTTAGCTCTGCCCAATAGATAAAACATTGTTTTAATCTTCCAGCTCAAAATTTTACCCCACTCCTAGGTTTACAGAACTATTACAATTTGATTCAATTGGTACCATGATAGTTTCTTAGGTTTAAGAAACTTCATTACCAGTGCTACAATTATAAGTTAGATTTACATTACAATTATTACTTATCATCATCCTAAAATCTAAAATCTAAATCTAAATCCTAGATCTAAAATCTCTTTTAAGCCAAAAATCCTTTGGCATATTTAACCAGGCAAAGTATTATGACCTTGGATACATTTGTATAATATTTTTTTTTTTGGTCCAAGAAGAGAAAAGATATAAATATGAATTTGTAATCACCTACATTAAGTACATCTGGAATCAGTGTTTCCCATAATATTAGCTTTCCTTTGGGGAGATTAATCCCAGGGAGAAGCACTGCACTCCACCAGGGGAACTGGTCTAGAAATTTTGAAGTGCAAAAAAGGACTCATTTTTTCTGGTTCTGAGATTCATAAACAATGTTTTAAATGTTAATGTTTCACCAGGTCATTTGAATAAATGGCCTGATGATACATTTCTCAATTGCCCTTGCTATGAACAGATGAAATCTGTATTAGGAATGGATCTCAAGGAGCCAAGCCCTGGTCTCGGCATATACGTGAGAGCAAAACTCTCAGAACCCCAGGATAGATCTGCAGTTGAAGTGTACTATTCCTTCATTTTCTAAAAATATGTCTCCCTCACATATTATCCAAGTTGATTTTCTCACTATTGAGTGTAATACAACACTTCCTCATCCTATACCAGTTTTTAAAAACTTTGTGTTGCTAAAAACCCACAGAAGACTATTTTCCTAGTATAAATATTGTTTTATGCTTAAACCAATTTTCATATTCATACTGACATTATCATTCAATAACTTAGGAATAAATAAAAGCAGAGTTGCTCTACAAAGGCTACAACTTTATTGAGCACCCCAACCATCTCAAAGCCTCCAGATGCTCCTAAGTTCTGGCCATAATTTAAGGGAAACTTATAATTGTAAAACTGGACATCATTCTCTTTTAATTTCTTTGTTTTTATAGAAGCCTCATACCATTGTTGTCTGTTTTTTCCTAAGGATATTAGCCTTGTTAATGACACTTATCACCCACATTAGCATTTACTGTCAATGATTTACGAGTAGACCATGCACTTTGTCAGTCGCAAGCTTTTTCTCAATTCTGCTACTTCAGTTCTTTCCTCCTTAGCTTTAGAATGGACAAGGAAAAAAACATATGGACTAAAAATTATAAAATAAAAAGCTGTCCTGAAACAAGCACTGTTAAGTCTTGAATCACTTGTACCTTGCAGAGAAATGTAGAAACATTGTTAAGCAAGAAGAGTCTAATTCATGCTGGTAAGTTTCCCTACAATTAAAATAACTTGTGTATGTTCTACTGAAAATGTCTACAGTTTTAAAAATAGCATAAAGGCAAAAAAAAAAAAAAATAACCTAAAGGCAGATATTTTTCAACAGATAAAAATCAATCAATACAGTGAACCATATTAATAGACTAACAGACCAAAACCACATGATCATTTCAATCAATGTAGGAAAAAAAATCTGACAAAATTCAACACCCTTTCATAATAAAAACATTCAATAAGCTAGCAATAGAAGGGAACTTCTTCAGCCTGATAAAAAGCACTTAGGAAAAGCCCACAGCTAACATCATACTTAATAATAAATAACTGATCTGCCGAAGACCAGAAATAATACAAGGACGTCTGCTTTGCCACTTCTGTTCAACACTGTACTAGCGGTTCTAGTCAGGGCCAGAAAATAAAATAAAAAGAATCCAGTTTGAAAACTAAACCTAGGCACGCCTGGGTGGCTCAGACAGTTAAGCATCCAACTCTTGGTTTCATCTTGGGTCATGATCTCTTGGTTTGTGAGTTTGAACCCCGCATCAGGCTCCGTGCTGATGGCATGGGGCCTACTTGGGATTCTCTCTCTCTCACTCTCTCTCTCTCTCTCTGCACCTCCCCTGCTCATGCTCTCTCTCTCTTTCTCTCATGCTTTCTCTCTCTCTCGAAATAAATAAACTTGAAAAAAAAAAAAAGAAAACCAAATCTCTATTTTCAGATGTCATGATCTTGCAGACAGGAAATTCTAAGGAATTCACAAAAAATCTATTAGAACTACTTGAGTTCAGCAAGGTTTCAGGAAACCAGATCAATATACAATCAACCATATCAATTGTTTTTCTACGCATTAGCAAAAAAACAAAAAAATCAAAAATGAAATCAAGAATATATTCTATGTACAATAGCATCAAAAGAACTAAACACTTAGGAATAAATTTAACAAAAGAAGTGCAAAACTTGCACTCTGAAAACCACAAAACAACACTGAGAGAAATTAAACCTAAATAAATGAAAGACATCTCATGTTCATGGATTAGAAGACTTAATATTGTGAAGATGCCAATACTTGCAAATGGATACATACATTCAATTCAATCCCTCTCAAAATTCCAACTGCATTTTTGGGCAAAAATGGCAATCTGATCCTAAATTCATATGGAAATTCAAGGGATCCAGAATAGCCAAAAAAATCTTAAGAAGTTGTAGGACTCCTATGTCTCAATTTCAAAAATTACTACAAAGTTTCTGTAGTCAAAACTGTATGGTATTGCCATAAAGACAGACATATGATCAGTGGAATAAAATTAAGAGTCCAGAAATAAAACCTCAAATTTATAGTTAACTGATTTTTTTTTAATTTGAAAGAAAAAGAGAATGTGAGTGGGGGAGAGGGGCAGTGAGGGAGAGAGAGAGAGAGAGAGAGAGGAGAGAGTCCCCAAACAGGCTCCAACTCAGCACGGAGCCGGATGCAGGGCTTGATTCTATAACCCTGGGATCATGACCTGAGCCAAAATCAAGAGTCAGATGCTCAAAACCAACTGAGCCACCCAGGTACCCCTATAGTCAACTGATTTTTGACAAGGGTACCAAAATCATTCAATGGGGAAAGAAGAGTCTTTTCAACAATGGTGCTAGACAACTGGATATCCACATGCAAAAGAATGAATTTGGACCCCTCCATCACAACATATACAAAAACTAACTCAAGATGGATTGAAGACCTAAATGTAAGAGCCAATGCTCTAAAACTCTTAGAACAAAAGATAGGCATAAATCTTGTGACCTTAAATTAGTCAAGTTTCTTTGAGTTGACATCTAAAACACGAGTAATGAAAAAGAAAATAGATAAATTGGACTTAATCAACATTAAAAACTTTTATTTCAAAGGACACCATCAAGAAAGTGAAAAGATAAGCCACAGAAGGAAGAAAAATATTTGCGAATCATGTATATCGGACACTTTTATCCAGAATATATAAAGAACTCTTACAACTCAACAATATAAAACAAAAATTAAAAAGTAGGCAAAGGATCTAAATAGACAGTTCTCTAAAGAAGGTATACAATGGCCAAAAAGCCATGAAAATATGTTCAACATCATTAGCTATAAGTGAAAATGCAAATTAAAATCATGACAACCACTGCAACCAAACAGGATGTTTAAAATAATAAAGCCATAATAACAAGTGTGAGTGAGGATGTGAGAAATTAGAACCCTCGTACTTTGCTATTGGGAATGTAAAAATGGTATAGCTGCTTTGGAAAATAGTTTAACAGTTCCTCAAAGGTTTTAACATAAAGTTACCATATGAGCCAGCAACTCCAATGCTAACTAACTATATACCCGAGAGAACTGAATACATAAGTTCACACCAAAACTTATACACAAATGTTCACAGCAGCATTATTCAAATAGCCAAAAAGTGGAAACAATCCAAGTGTCCATCATCAGAGGAATGGATAAACAAAATGTGGTATATCTGTACAAAGGAATATTATGCAGCCACAAAAAAGGAATAAAGTACTAATACATGCTGTGACAATTATCCTAGATGCCAAGTGAAAGAAGCCTGAATAAAAGGCCACATATTGTATGATTCCATTTACACAAAACAGGTAAATCCAAAGAGACAGAAAGTAAGTTAGTGGTTGCCAAAGGCTGTGAAGAAAGGGCAATGGTAATCAACAGCTAATAGTTTGGGGTTTCTTTTTTGAATGATCAAAATTATTCTAGAATTAGTGCTGATAGTTGCACAACCTTGTGAATATACTAAAAGTCGCTGATATGTACACTTTAAAGAAGTAAATTTTATGGTTCACTAATTATACTTCAATTTTAAAAAGAGCAATTATTTACAAATGAGTAAAGAAAAATAACAGTTTTATAGAGCTGTTGAATCACAATGTTGTACACCTGAAACTAATGTAACATTGTGTCAACTTTATTCAAATAAAAGTAAATAAAAATTTTAACAAGAAGTAATGCAGATACAAATATTCTTATTACACATTTACTTGCACAATTGTTCCCCATACATTTGTTGTCTTTTAAAACTTGTTTGTGATGCACACAAAGAAAAAAAATTTATTTAAATGTGGTAAAGTGTAACAATCATTTTCTTCATGCAATCTGAGTTTTGTTTTGTACTTTAGAAAGATCTTCCCCACTCCAAAATTAAAGAATAAA